ATATGCACGTTATCCATATCAATCCAAATGATAATAATCACTCTCCGCGTGACATCATGCGCACCGGCGGTCGAAAATCGAACAGCGGAGCATACGGCCCGCGAGCTAGCGACTAGCCCCCTCCCCGCGCTTCGCGCGGCATCTGTTTGCGTGGTGTATTAGGTTTAAATGTTAACGAATTCTTGGCCCACCCTGTATTTGACAACATTCTTTTACAAGAACTAGCAGCATTATTTGTATTATACATATTTACATGCGAGAGATTGGCGTATTATTCTGGGACAACCTATAGAATTGAAAGAAACTTGCAGCATGTGCATAGAAGGAAATTAACTCGTTTAGATTGCCAGGGCAGACTATCCCCAATGCATTATTGCTAATTGTTATACACCCTATACTCTTAGAATACTGGCTCAATGATGACATTAATGAAAAAAACAAAACTGAATGACTGTGCTTAATTTCAAATACGTGTTTAGACACATTTTTTCACATGAACTTGGGTTCTTATTTTTTCCTTCCCACGCCTGCTGACGAGGAGGTATTGTAAAAGCGAAGATATTATGTTTTATGGATGTTACGTGAAATCTTCATTACGAAAAATCATGTCACTCATTTTCGTCGGTCTGACTATCGTTCTGTCTATCGCTCTACCTGTCGGTCTATCTGTCGGTCTATCTGCCCATCTGTCTGTTGATTTGTCCGATAATCATTGGCCATACCTGTACTATTAATTGGAAAGTACCGGATGTTCATGTTCACACATGGTTAATGCTAGGCAAGGACGAAAAAGCTCTGTAGCGGCGGAAAAAATGCTAAAAACGAAGGGAACAAAAATGTTTAGTTTTAAGAGATTGGGAGGTCGGTGAGGGCGTACCTTTTTACATATTAATACACTTTCATTCCCAGTAATTCTACGCACCTATTAGAAATATTCCACACATCATAGATTTCCCCCATAATTTGCTCTTACAACTTAGAACGATAAAGAAATGTTTTCGGCTCGCAACCTGCGTCTACTGCCTGGCTTCACCGGCTGGGGTATATGTCCTCGCAGGACCGGTGCTCCATCTGACGCGTCGTGGGATTAGGTACTGAGTAGAGGCGACGTAGCCAGATGATCGATACTTCAGGTAGGGCAGGCAAAGAATGTCTGTGGACTAATTGTATGGACCTGTTTGACGGACTTGATCTGTTTAATTGCCCTGTTATACATGTGCTAACTAACCTTTTTCACATAGGATCTAACTTAAAAAACTTTAAATTAATGATGATGGATCCCTCGAGCACTAAAAACTCCGGACGTAAACTCACTCCACTCTCGGAATGTCCGGGTGGAGGGTGGGCTCGAGGGAATAACATCGAAGATAAAATTTGTTTTTCGAACATCTGCGGGATCAACAGCAACATTGATGCTGTTCATCACTACCTGCAATCCAATCGTCCCGCCGTGCTTTTCTTGGCGGAGACAAAAATCTCGGAGGCTGCACCGATTAACAATCTCAACTTCCCAAACTACGAGGTGCACTCCAATCTGAGAAAGAACGGGGGAGTTGTGGCTTTTGTCCGCAGCAGTCTTTCCTGCTCCAGGGATCTTTCTTTGGAAACAGACCGGAAGGACATTCTGTGGCTTCGCCTCAACTCCAAAACATCACCCAAATTTATTGCGTTCGCGTTCGCTCTTACTCAAGGGCTGACCCAGCTGGTGACGAGCCCTACTTTTTTCCCCCGCGTCTCGTCACACGCCAGTAGCTTGCTGGATCTCTTTCTGACCACGCATCCTGCCCCTTACAGCACTGCTGTCCTGTCCCCCCTGGGTAACTCAGATCACGGTGTTGTGGAGGTTAGGTTTCGGTCAGAAGCCGCTGTGGCCGTAGAAACTCGCACAGGCCGCAAAACTTGGCATTACGGACATGCCGACTGGGAGGGGCTCAGAGACTTCTTCTCTAGCTTTCCTTGGAGAGATGTCTGTTTCACTGACGCGGATGCGTCGACTGTCTGTTCTTCAATAACCGAAATTATCCACGTCGAAATGGAGGAATACATCCCTCACACAGTGAAAGTTCCTAAACCAGGGTCCAACGGCTGGTTCAACAAATCGTGTGACACTGCTCGCGAGCAGAAGATCAAGGCCCACAGAACCTACTTACAAAACCCCACTATAGAGAACAGACAAGCCGACGTCGAGTCCAGAAACAAATATAACGAAGCGGTTCGCAATGCCAAAACCCAGCATGATATAAAAGTTAGGCACAGGGTAATGTCGCAGCGCAATGGCAGTCGGTCTTTCTGGACGCTGGCCAAGCAGATTGAAAAGAACTTCTCACACAGTAGCCTTCCACCACTTACGTGTCAGGATGGAACTATTGTATTCGACTCAAAGGCCAAGGCGGAAGTGCTAGCCAAGATCTTTGCTGCCAACTGCACCATGGACGTCCCCACCAACGCCCAAGTGCCGTCAATTCAAAGGATTCCCCACACTATGCGGGAGGTAACTTTCAGGCATAAGACCGTAAGACGAGTGCTCTTGTCGTTCGACATCAACAAAGCTTCTGGTCCGGACTTGATTCCTGCCATTGTACTGAAGAGATGTGCAGCTGAGCTTGCTCCAGTTCTTTCGCGTCTCTTCCAGATATCTTATGAATCCGGAACCTTCCCAGAAAACTGGAAATTTGCTCATGTACAGCCCACCCCAAAAAGGGATCTAAAACCGACCCTTACAACTACAGGCCTATAGCTCTGCTTTCTGTTATAAGTAAAGTGATGGAGAGGTGCATAAATCGCGAGCTTCTAGACTACCTCGAACGTCACAGCTTGATTAGCGACAGGCAGTACGGTTTCCGGCACCAACGATCCACAGGGGACCTCCTAGCTTACGTCACGCAACTGTGGAGTAAACTCATCCAGTCTCATGGTGAGGCTCATGTCGTTGCTCTTGACATCACGAAAGCGTTCGATCAGCTGTGGCACGCTGCCCTCTTGAGCAAACTTCCATCCTACGGCCTCCCAGAAAAGCTTTGCAGATGGGTGGCTGACTTTATCTCTGGCCGCAAGATATCCGTCGTAATTGACGGATTCTCCTCTTCATCCCACAACGTCAACGCGGGTGTTCCCCAGGGATCGGTCTTGGCTCCAACACTGTTTCTCTTACATATCAACGACCTCCTTTCCTGCACGATCAACCCAATCCACAGCTTCGCTGATGACAGCACTCTACATGCAGGGGTTCAGAGTGACAAGCCGATCTCTGCCGCTGAGCTGGAAAAAAGAAGACTAGCGACGACTTCTTCTCTGACAAGAGACCTGGAGGCTATCACTGCTTGGGGACGCAACAATCTGGTACAGTTCAATGCTTCCAAAACACAGTACTGTACTTTGACGAACAAAAAGCGTCCTAGCGCTCATACAGTTTCGATGGACGGTCGAGTTCTACCAAAGAGCCATTCATTTCGGCTGGTCGGAGTCCAGATCACCGAGGACCTGATCTGGCACGAACACATCTCTTCAATAGCTGCAGCTGCTGGGAAAAAGCTAGGCTATTTGTTTAGGGCTAAGAAGTACTTTTCTCCGCATGACCTTCTCACTCTGTACAAGGCCCAGATAAGGCCTAGCCTCGAGTATTGCTCACACATTTGGGGTGCTGCCGCCCCGACTACATTGTCCATGCTCGATGCTGTCCAGAGGAGGGCGGTCCGACTGATCGATGGCTCTTCTCTAACAGACAGTCTCGGGACTCTTTCGCACCGGCGGGCCGTCGGCGATCTAGCTCTTTTCTATCGCTACACCAACGGGCTTTGCTCCTCAGAGCTCTCTTCCATGATGCCGCCGCGCGATGTGCCTGCCAGACAGACCCGCCTGACTTCGGCGTCCCATCGTAACCGTGTCAAACTTCGTACATCCAGAACTGGCCGATACGACCGCTCCTTTGTCCCGAGGGTGTCTAGATTGTGGAACAAACTACGGGAGGAAGCTTTTCCCAGTTCTACTAACCTTAGGCAGTTCAAAAATCGTATTAACAAAATTTCTTTGGGATCATCATAGCAGCCGCGGTGTTCCGGCATTTAGGCTTCTGCCTGCGCGGCTGTTTCGATATAAAAAAAAAACATGCTGCTTTCGTCTATCCGGCCAAACACTGCCAAATTTAGACTGCTGTTCGTGTTTTTTTGCAACTCATCAGCATGATCTAGGCTCTGTCTCTGGGATAACGAACGAAAGCATAGCGACTCCTCTATCTAGCATGTAAGGTATATGGTGACGCCTTCTATCGATAGAGTCTTGCATAATGCTTAATGAACTGATGATAATGTTGAGTGGGAAGTGCAGTCAACCTACTTGACACTAGTTTTTATTTCATATGCATTCTAGAGATTCCATCTTATTCTGTGACACGTTTGTACATGCATCTTTGAGCGCTTGAAAAAGGACTATCATGTTGGTGCAATAAACTTCTGTTGTCCAGAATCTTGGAAATGAGCCATTCAAACTGAATAAAATTACAGGATAACGAGTAAATACAAAATAGTAAGCGTATAAATTTCTCTAGATGAGTCCATTTTATATGGACGCAAAAATGTTATCGGTGACTTTTTACATGACTTTTGGCCCTGAAAGTAGTAGCACTAGATATATCCAAAGTTGTACTGTTGTAATGAACCATGTACTGTATTTTGGCATACAAAAAGTTATGAAAGATCAGTGAGATATCCTGGCTTCATCCAGGAGAATTTGTTACAGCTATGTACCTCCTCTCCGAAATAAGAATGAATTGATTTTAAAAAGGTTAACATCTCACAGATATATAGTCAACTATATGCTGACATAGTTGGCTACAACTCTATCTATAACACACTAACCTTTTCGAAGTAATTTCTAATTGTTGCGAAGAGCTGGCATAAATTCTAATGGATGATTCCGGAATATCTTATCATCAATGATATAGCTCGCACTTGCATATTCATTTGACGGATATTTCGTAATACATGGAATCTCATCTGTTGCAGATACGATGCTACAATAAAAGCAACAGGAAGATATTTCACGGATTTCTTAGACAACGTAGACAATATACATTCCCAATTCAGACTGTCCTATCCCAAAATGAAAAGTCCCTCGATGTATCTGACGGACGTTGATGAGAACGGATGTATCCTCGTTTACAGGAGTCAAAGGCAGGGATTTACGCATTACGTCATGGGTAAGAAATATTATCTCTTTATTGAATCCGCCCGGGAAGGATCCAGCCCTGGAAGTGTGAGGAAAAAAAGGAAAATAACATGATATGAACTCTTTTCCTTCGTTATTTACGATCAGATTTTGTTTTCAGTGTGGTATCTTCATTGAATATAATATTCTCGTGACGATACAGAAAGTTTAACAGGATAACTCATTCAATACAGAAGTTTGTAAGTAAAATCAAAGGAAAGATACGCGGGCAGAAGATGTTACGATAGGTCCGAAAAAATCTTCGGTTCCATAAACTCCAATTGTGATAGAAAGGTCACACGTACAGAATTGTTTTCTGAAGCACTTACATCAGCAGCGTTTGTGATGGCAAGCAAGGGCGGATCCAGTCTTTGAGTAAGAGGGGTCACTTAGTCAGAGTGTTGAATTAAGAAATTTCTTTAGAATAGGTATCGCAGTGCTTGTCTTAGGATTCGTGTTCAGAAAGATGTTTGTCTTGGAGGGGTGGTTGCTATCGGCGATTGAAGATTGAGCTGGGAGGGGAAGGGAGGATGTTGTGGCGATTCGGCTACATGAGTACTTCTGACAATGTATGCACTTGTTATAATTACAGAAATTGGAAAGAGCGGGATGGGGGGATATGACCAATGACCAATGGAATCAGCCCTTGCTGGAAAGGCTTCAAGTTTACAGAAAAAAAATCAGAACACCACGTGTTTTCAGCTATTTAATACCGCCTCTTGAGTTCTTCCTGTTTCGAAATGGCGAACACATTGAAACCAACGTTGGCGCCAACGTGGTATGATATGCTATGTTGGACCGAGAGAAACATAATCTCCTATTTTTTAGCATAATATAATAGGATGTAAGTGATTGTATTAATATAATCTATAATCAGAAGTAGGAAACCAGAAACTGATACAGAAAACTGCCTAATAGTTTGTGGATACTTATTGAGCTTGTGACTGCCACTCTGCACCAAAAGTTATAAATGCATGTTTGTGCTCTATTTGACTCGTATGAGTTTAAACTCCCTTAAGGTTTTCTACAACATTGAATACATGAAGAGCTTTTATAGGTAAAATGAATTACGGCAAAGAAATCGTCTTAATTGGTATAATACTTTACCGTAGTGTTGTATTATAAAGTTACCAACACCACGACCAAAAAGGCTATACTGGGTGTTTCAGATTCTAGTTTCACCATTGGGATCTCGGAAACGGTAAGAAATATGAAGTCATTCAATATGAGCGAAGTTCCGTATTTAGGTAAAATGGCACATACCTATAAAGTTTCGCAAAGATAAACGAAATGAACCAAATTTTCCCAAAACCGTTTTTATTTTCTCCTGTCATTATTTGAGATAAAATTTCAAAACGAAAAGTTCGTTAGCATTGCCACTTTTTCTCCTCTACAAGGTGGCATAATGAGAATCTCAATGTAACGTTTCGTCTGGAAGCCTCAATCATCAACTTTTTCTTATAGACATACGTCATATTAGATTTATCCACACTTGAATAGAGTTTTTAATTCTGACTCCAAAAATGTATAACATTCAATAGAAAAACTTTCATTTTTGTGACCATGTCAAAAATCTAATCAGTCCCTCAAATTAATTTACAGTAACAGGCATTATCCTAGGAGAAATCTAAATAAGACTTTCTCTGAATCACTGGACCTAAGTCACTTCATCTACTGCGACTTCATTTATGGACCCCGTCTGACACAGGCAGATAAATTTTGTTTTCAGAAGGCCTAGAGCTGTTGTTGTAGGTTAATTTACGGAATCAGGAAGTACGACCCAGTAACACATATAATCCACGAGTGCAAATGGCCTAATATGGAAATAGATGTAGGCTGCACGTGTGCATTTTCTCTCACACTCTCTTCAGCAGACATGATCCTCCAAATCTTGCAAATAAGTTTATACCTCGCTCCAGGAACATCAGATACGGAGCGGAGCCGCTTTTACAAATACAATCCCTCGACGCAGGACGGCAATGCTTCAGACGTCGTTTATTTTTAATGCGATTCGTATGTACCATTTTTTCTCCAATAGATTCAGAGCTTACAGTATTAATAAGTTCTAATATGAACTTGAACCCCTTCTTTTTGATTCCCATTAGAGCTGGAATTTTGGTATGCAACTTGCCTTCCGAGCTGAACACTAACAAAATTGTGCTTCATTTCTATATTACAATAATAGTACGTCCTTTTTAATTATTCTTTCTAATTAACTTTGATATATATATATATATATATATATATATATAAAATGATCATGCGGAGAAAGGTATATAACAAAAAGTAGGAAAATAATGGGCAAAATCCGCAAAAAGGAGGAACGTGGGTTCGAGCAGAAAATAGGATAGGTAACCCGAGCGATACGTATTTCTGCTGGTTGAAGATCATTTTATTATTTTTAATAAATTCGATTATTATTAATTTATGTCATACATTGACACACTTGTTATTTAAAAAAAAACAGAATTGCCTAAATATTATCATAATATCAGCACCCAGGCATTCCTTCAGTTTTTATGAACTAGGCATAGAAGAATTCCCGATTTTAATGAAAGGATATTGTAAATAGCATGACAACGATTCTTATCATAAAACATCAAATATCTTTAAAAGTAACCCTCCTACAGTCTATAGTTGGTCTTAATTCATCAAATAAAGAACAACAATTCTAGGGATAGTATTGAAAACACTGAAAACAGTATTATTTCATATAACTGATGGAAACACTTTGAGGTCGCTAAAAGTCTCGACCGTGTTGCAGCTTCCTAAACAAATTTCATATCCCTCATACCTAAACCGAAGTATACATTTTGCATTCTAATACTGTTAACCTACGACCGAGAGAAATAGAGCGCCCTATCGAACTGAAGTAACGCTTGTTATAGTCGATAAATAGGCAAATTATCTGAATGTCCTTTAAACACGCTTCACAGAGATTGAAGCATTGGTGACTTGATCGGATAAACATCTGATAAACTGACAGTTAGAAAGAACACTACGGCGATATTATCTTTTCGAAAGAACTTAAGTTTGACAATGTCAGTGTATGACATATTATACATGTATGGAATCAAAATTAAAAACTATAAGAGAAAATAAGGTTAATGATTGATGACAAGAGACGAAATGTCGATTATCTTCCTGATGATTTGGCGACGGTTATTTATAATGATACGACGCATGTTTGCCTTTCAAAGAATATATACCTTTGGTTTATCGACCTACACCAGAAATTTGACTTGACCCCGCAGAAAAGTCCATAGGTGTGAGATTACACCACCTTGAAAACCAACTAATTGGTCCATATTTCTTTAAAGATGATTACCCCAAAATATTACAGTGAGCTGAGAGCGTAATAGATCCATTATTAGCACTAGCGGATTTATCATAAATCATCGGTCCGGTCGGTAGTTTTCTAAGAGGGCCATTTGTTCGGTACACCATATAAACCAAGCGATAAAATGTGTGGTTGAACATTTTTATTGAATACAATAAAACAGAAACAGGTAACTTTGAATTATCGTCTTGCTTTTCATTCCGCAAGAATCCAAATCCAAGTCCTCAGCTTTTCTTTGAAGTTTAAAGCGCAGATATGTGTAATTCAAAGTTACAGCCTTATAATCTGTAAATTCTACTGATGTTTGCCCCAAGAAACGAAACGCATTATATCATGTCGTTATGAAAAAAATTGCTTGTACTCAATGAAGTCTAATAGATTAGAAGAAGCCAAGCCGAAATGTTTACATTGCAATGTTTGTCGCCAAAATTGTGTATTTTTGGTGTATACTTTTGACTCATTTGTCTTCCAATTCCTACCAAGGTGACAACGTTGTATCATCATAATAATAATACTTACCGGAGGCTTGCTGCTCTTTGCAAATCATGTATGAAGTAGCACGTCCTGCAATCGTCTAACATCTCAATTATCTGCAAGCATATGATAACACTAAAATTACGTATTTAATGACAAGACTCAAAAAATTGCCTTATGTCAGGTGCACTTAGATTCTCACTACAGACTATGAGACAAACAAATGCTTGATTGGCGCTTTCAACCTAGTCTGAATTTACCACGTGTACTAGTGTCAAAACTCCACGACATGGCTTGGTGGGTCATAAATATTTCAGATCGAGCTCAAAATTATACTGCGGCGGGTATCTATGGAGATATGCATCTTAGTACAATGTGGGGGTTCTAGGTCGAATGGTTTGATCTAGAGACGCGTCCCAAGCTTGAGAGTATGACAAAAACGTAAATATTTTTATTATATAAGACTATTCTGAAGTAAAAATAATCCAAAGTACTCCAACATGAAGTCCACATTGCAATCTGATAGTTTGTTCGGCAGATGTTTCAGTCAAAAGTGAATTTTACAAAATGCTTCGGTGTTCTTTGGGCTGAAAATTCGAATGCCTTCTGAAACGAATAATCCACAAAATTAAATAGAATGACCAACCTATCCCTCTGTGTTAATTGAATTTTGTAATTGGACCTTTAAATTCGTCGGATAGGCCTCCGCATCCAATTTTCGATATTCTGAAACAAAATTGGATATTTACGTGATACTGTAGGGCGGATCCTGTCTCATATAGAGCAACTTATATAGAGGCATGAGTGTTTGTGCAATCTCAGATTCATAGGTCTAACAGTTCGCTCTGGAGATGCGCTTAAAGTTTTAATATTCTGAAAAACTTTTCCATTTTCTCGCTACTCCTGCCATTGGATATCATTAGGTACTTTAATATGCGACTATTCCGAAGTGAGGTTGACCAAGGAATGGAAAAATGATATTCAAATTGTGAAATCAATATCCACTGGTGTCGACGGTATAAGTATCAGCATGCTGCTGTACAGCTGTCCTATAATCTTACCATATCTCCAGAATATCTTCAATTATTGTCTAAAATTCAATATCATACCTGAAATTTGGAAGTTTGCACAAGTAATTCCCATATCAAAAAAGAGCATTCCTGAAGATTTGGGGGACC